ACTATATATATATATATATATATATATATATATATATATATATAAAAATATCTTTATAATGGCTAAAAAAATAACTTGTTTTGCTGAAAGACTCTGTATCGTTATCTGAAAGAGTAAGAAGTGCTCAGCTTGGATTTGTAAGTCGACGTGTTTTTTGTTTGTTTTTTTCAGTTTCTGTTTTGTTTACAGCGGTTAACAATAGGTGGCTCTCCTGCAATTAGAAACAGAAAGAACATTTTTACTCCGCAAGAACAGTGAAAGTCCAAGACTATTCACGGATCCTATTCATACCTCTGAGTTATATACATAGTAGTGTAGTATATACCATGGAGCCTGGTTTCTCCCGTCCTTGCAAGCAGGACGGTAGATACCTTGAGGCATTTGCTCAGAAAAGTAACGAGGATTAAAGTTTATTGACTTTTGGTGAAGTTATTCTTGGTAAGTAATAGGCCATCTTTGGTCCTGTTATAGTTACCAAAAGAGTTATGAAAAAAATAATAGTAATTTCTACTGTCATTCGAGTATCTTTTCCTTACCTGGTGAATAAGATTATATAGGAAAAAGATCGTTAGAACTGACAATTTTGTTAAAACGTCACACTAACTAGCACAGTTTCTGATACGACACAATGTACGTTACCTGGCATATTAGAACCGATTGGAACTTTCGGCCAGTGAAAATATAGAATAATAGGTGTTGTTCTGAAATGATTCAAGACTCGAGCTTACTTACAAGAATCCAGCTTTCAACTGAATTTATTATTAAAAAATAAAAAGACGTAAAGAAACTCCGCTGTTAGAATTAAATATGGGAAACCTCATTTACTCTACAGTTGACATTTTGAATTATCACCGACTGTAACAAAGAAAGCTAGTTATCAAACTTTGGAAGCTAGTTGGATCTTTAAACGTGAAATCATATAACACATCAAACGACAAAATGGTATACTGATCCGTTTGGGTTTTTGCAACCAGAAGAAATGACCTGGTTGAGTCTAATTTTTAGCGGGGAAAGGATTTAGAATACGAGCAATTTGGGCCAGTGAGATTATGCATATTGTTTGCGTTAATCTACGTTTCGTGGCAAAAATAATACAAAAGTTAAACAAACTCAACTTAACGAATTACAAAGACGAGAGGGAGAAATTAATAAAACAGTTTCTGGAGCTTGTGATTCTATATTTGCATAGTGTTAAAAACAGTTAATTTTATTTTGGTTCAACTCTTCACACTCGAGTCATCGTGTAGAAAAAGGGTTAAGTTAATAAATTTACAAACAAGAAAAGCGACACATCTTTAATACGAGATAAAAGTTTCTTTGGAAAACCGAAAATATATCATTATAACACGATTGTAACACCACCAACGAAGATAATCATAACCACAGTAAGAAATAATAATAACACGGAGGAAACCAAATCCGACACATCTAGCTGGGTGAGAAATAACAATAATAACAACATGGAAGATACCACATTTGACACGTCCAATCTGGTGACTAATAACAATAATAACAACATGGAAGAGGCCACATTTGACACATCCAGCTTGGTGAGAAATAATAATAATAACGATATCGAAGAGACCACATTTGACACATCCAACCTGGTGAGAAATAACAATAATAACAACATGGAAAATACCACATTTGACGCATCCAGATTGGTGAGAAATAATAATAATAACGATATGGAAGAGACCACATTTGACACATCCAACCTGGTGAGAAATAACAATAATAACAACGTGGAAGAGACCACATTTAACACATCCAGATTGGTGAGAAATAACAATAATAACGACATGGAAAAGAACACATTTGACACATCCAACCTGGTGAGAAATAACAATAATAACAACGTGGAAGAGACCACATTTAACACATCCAGATTGGTGAGAAATAACAATAATAACAACGTGGAAGAGACCACATTTCACACATCCAGCCTGGTGAGAAATAACAATAATAACAACGTGGAAGAGCCCACATTTGACACATCCAGCTTGGTGAGAAATAACAATAATAACGACATGGAAGATACCACATTTGACATATCCAGATTGGTGAGAAATAACAATAATAACAACATGGAAGAGCCCACATTTGACACATCCAGCTTGGTGAGAAATAACAATAATAACAACGTGGAAGAGCCCACATTTGACACATCCAGCTTGGTGAGAAATAAAATCATCATCACAATCTGTACGAAAGTAGTAAGAGTTGATAAATTTGATAATCGTTTGGCAAACAGGGGCTGGTGTGACGTGCTGAAACATTTAAGTTGATTCAAACAAAATTAGGTTTACCGTTACTAGAAAACGTCTGTTATTTAATTCACGGTTTATACAATTGTAGCTGACCAACTTATAATTTAGTGGCTCAAATTGACACAGGTTATTCCAATATGTTCTTGTTGTGAGTTGGATATATATATATATATATATAGTAAGCATAATAAAGTTATAACATAGTTTAATAAAAATGTGTTCATTTTTAAACGACTTCCAAATAAAACAATTACGTCTTACGGATCAGTCGTTGTTGTAGTCTTCTTTCGTGTTTATTGGCTAGAAATGTTCACTGAAACAAGAACTCCATCGTACTTGATTTACGTATACGCTATAGTGTCTTATTGGAGAAACAAAATTGAGGCACCAATTAGAACTAGGTCATCCAGAGCGCTTCAGGCAACAGCTTTCTTGTTGAGCTGAGCAGTGCCAGGTAAGTTCAAGGAAAGTGGGTCTAGAGCAGTGCACTACATTTCGGTCAGCAGCGAGATCTATTTAAGGCGGATGATTTCACTGACGCTATCATTCGATTGTTGCATCTCGTGAGAAGCACGTGAATTAGCTTCTTGCAACAGCTGTAGTGTAAGCTCGCTTGGTAAGTGTTAAAAGTAAAAGAGTACGATAAAACCTGGGTTTGATTTTAATAAATGAAACGATATAACTAAAAACGTGGTCGAGGAATCAATTTTAAGAAATAAAGTAAGTGAATCACTATAAGTCAGGTAAAAACCTATACTATATATTACATAGTAGCAATACGTTTGTTAGAATATAACGTTATTAATAGAAGAATCCCTTTCTCTCTCTCTCTCTCTAGGTTGGGAATATTTATGGTGTTTATTGGTTACGATGGGTAGAGCGACACAACTTTGCTTGTTACCTGCTCTGGCAGGATTGGTCCTATTAACCGTCGTTCATGCTAGTTCATACGGCTGGCATAAACCGCTAAAAGTGATCCATAAAGTTATCAACGTCCCTCATCCCGTGCCTGTTCCTAAGCCTTACCCAGTTCACAAACCTTATCCCGTTCCCCACGTGATCCACGTTCCACAAAAGGTTCCGGTGCCTGTTAAGGTTCCCGTTATAAAAAATATACCAAAAGTAGTACCTATTCCTAAGGTAATATACGTTCCTAGGATTGTTCATGTCCCTCACCCTGTCCCCGTTCGGGTTCCCGTTCCCGTCCACAAGCCTGTCCCTGTACCTGTATACAAAAACGTACCTGTGCCACATGAGGTTCCCGTTCCCTACCCTGTCCATGTACCCAAACACGTGCCAGTCCCTGTTCACAAGGTAATCCACGTGCCTAAGCACGTTCCCATCAAAGAAAAGGTCCCAGTATACAAACAAGTGGTCGTCAAAAAGCCAGTGGAAGTGCCTGTACCGTAAGTGCCCTAATAGAATAGAAACATTTTACTGAATTAATTTTATATATATATATATATACAAGGTTTTCGGTGAACTAACATATTTCGTATATTCCTTTTAGTGTTAACAAAACATTTTTAACTAAATTGTTTATTGCTCGTGCGCCTTACCCTTTAGGTTATTGTATATCAACAAATAATAACAGTTTAGTGTTTTCCTCCCCCCCCCCCCTACTTACCTAACGCATGAATACCTTATAGTATAATTTCACAGTATTTCTTAATGTCAGAATTCACCAACTAACAATGTTTATCAATGTATTTGTAGCATATGGATTAAGAAACCTAGCTACGGCCATGGTGGCGGATACGGAGGCGGTGGTCATGGTGGCGGATACGGAGGCGGTGTTCATGGTGGCGGATACGGAGGCGGTGGTCATGGTGGCGGATACGGAGGCAGTGGTCATGGTGGCGGATACGGAGGCGGTGTTCATGGTGGCGGATACGGAGGCGGTGTTCATGGTGGCGGATATGGAGGCGGTGGCCATGGTGGCGGATACGGAGGCGATGGCCATGGTGGCGGATACGGAGACGGTGGCGGATACGGATGGGATTGAAATCAAGACTGAGATAATAGGAATGTGGCCTGGAAGCAACTTATTGAATGTAAAAAAAAAAGAAAAACCATTATTTTAGGAGTTGGATCATCCGATTTCCTGTCATGGCGATGTATATAGTTTTTGTTTTTTTTGGTTTCATTCCGTCGCTAAGAAACGTGTACAGTTACTTCACCCCTGGAAACGTATATAAAACACGCAACTCAGTGGCAATTGTAAACTTCGTCTGTTCGTCCCCTTTATTAAATTCCCGCATCTTACATGGCTATGATGTTTGGGCGTGTCTGTGTAAAATATATTGTAAACTTCGTCTTTTCGTCCCCTTTATTAAATTCCCGCATGGCTATAATGTCTGTGTAGAATATATTGTAAACTTGAAAATAAAATATTGAAGAAAAAATCACAAGTTCTCATGGTAAACTGTCTTTGATTTATCTGAAAGAATGATATTTTCCTATAAAACTAGACGAAGACACAAGTTATCATGGTAGTTTTATAGGAAAATATCATTCTTTCAGATAAATCAAAGACGGTTTAGACGAAGACACAAGTTCTCTTGATAGTTTTATAGGAAAATATCATTCTTTCAGAAAAATCTAAGACAGTTTAGATAAAGATACAACCAAAAATCGCCGGTAATTGTATAAAGATTAATAGCCACCTGTTATTGTCATATTTTACACAAAAACTAAAATACTTCCCACATAATATAAAGTTAACACTAGTTCAAAACAGCTAAGATTATCTGTGTATAAATTATTCTTTCCAATTCAGTTCGGAATCGATGAAATTAAACTTTCTAACATGATTATTTCTAACATAAAAAGCTTATAAGTTAAAAGAGAGAGAGCGGGATGGGGTCTTGAAACCAGAACATCTGGCCACCAATGAGTGTCCAAGAGTGCAAGTCTAATTATACATTTATAAAAAATCCTATGGGTGGAAAAAAGAAGGGATATATTTTACCCTTGGAGAGCTCACTGGTAAAACAATTGCCCTGTTGGTCAAAGGTTCTGGGTTCAAGTCTCGTAGTCTCTTTTTTGTCTATCGCCTTTTTCACATACAAAAATGTTTATGTTTGAATATATCCTTGCTAAGTTAGTAAAACGTACTGAAAGAACAGTATTATTAACATTGTAAGGATAAATATTTCTTATGAAAAAAATAAATCTTCTGGGATAGGTCATCCGTGCGTAAAACGAAGTAGAAGTAAGGAAACTAAAATAAATAGCTCCGAGAGAAATCGTAGATTTATTAAAAAGTTACCTTTGGTTAACAAATAAGTTACTGAATAAAATGAATAGATTCCACTTTTTGATTAGGTACTATACATTATCTAGTACTAAACCATTGTGTCTAAACAGTGCATTATTCGTTGTTGTTGTTTTTAGCAATTCCAAGCAACAATCTGTCTGAAACATTTAAGGAATTTGTGAAAGCTCACCTTGGCCGTCATAAAAAATTGGCAAATTAATCAGTTTCATACCTAGTCTAGACAGGATACTGTACAGGTAAGCAACCAGTTTCCCTTTTGCTTGTTTATGGATATGTAATTGGCCCGCCTGGGACTTTCCAGCGTTTCACAGCATCCATGCAAGGGCACACATACCCGGCATCTAAAAGTGAATGTTGTGTATTCATGGAGGCCACCATCCGGTTTTATGCCTTTATGGTTCTGTATTACTTAGAGCACTGAAAGGTATTAATGAATCTCAGACTCCCCAATATTTTCAGATACTCTAATACAGTCCAACAGAATTTTGACTCCATGATAGGAGATGACTGCATTAGTGGAGGATGATATTAATATCCTCGTATTTCATGAGTCGAGGTCGTGGCATTGCATCTTTTATTATAGCAGCCTTAACGTCTTTTTGAACTTCCTTGATCAGGTACACTGGATATAGAAAATCTACGTGAAAGTACCTCTCTGTCTGACTCTCCATAGTCAACTTTAGCATCTACGTGAAAGTACCTCTCTGTCTGACTCTCCATAGTCAACTTTAGCATCTACGTGAAAGTACCTCTCTGTCTGACTCTCCATAGTCAACTTTAGCATCTACGTGAAAGTACCTCTCTGTCTGACTCTCCATAGTCAACTTTAGCATCTACGTGAAAGTACCTCTCTGTCTGACTCTCCATAGTCAACTTTAGCTGAGGGATCCTTCAGATATTTCAGTAGCATTGTCACATCACATCACGTCTGATTGCATTGATTACGTACCAGCCTCCCAAGATTGTCCAACCTCACTAATCCTTCAGTGCTGAAAAACTCTCCAGGTTGGGTAAAAGACCTCTGTGATACCCTTTGATACATCAGAATGTCCGCCTATAGAAGCATTGCGAGCCTTTGTAAAGCATATGTAAATGAAAATTATAAAGTAACCGCCAACATGTGTAAAATGAAATATTTTGTCAAGAACTTGTTTACTCTTATAAACAATACAACAAATATCAAGAAGGAATCCTCAATAGCTGTGACACTTGAAATTCTTTTAGGCAGGAATAGAGTAAATTAATCTATGAGACCTTTTTCCCCCTTTTTCTTAGTTATATTTTTGTACGCCAGCAATAAATACCAAGCGCGTATAATCAATTTTATTACTCATAAGAATTTCTACCAGCCTACCCTAAAATTGAAATTCTTTTAGGCAGGAATAGAGTAAATTAATCTATTAGACCATGGGTGTGGTCATATACATCAGTTGAAAGGGTATGTTTGACCTCCTGAGTCCAAAACTGTAATTATATGTCCAATTGGACAAAAGATTAATTGTTTTTGAATTTCGCGCAAAGCTACACGAGGGCTATCTGCGCTAGCCGTCCCTAATTTAGCAGTGTAAGACTAGGGGGAAGGCAGCTAGTCATCACCACCCACCGCCAACTCTTGGGCTACTCTTTTACCAAAGAATAATGGGATTGACCGTCACGTTATAACACCCCCACAGCTGAAAGGGGGCGAGCATGTTTGGTGTGACAGGGATTCGAACCCGCGACCCTCAGATTGCGAGTCGAGTGCCTTAACCACCTGGCCATAACGGGCCAGCCCAAGAGATGACAGAGCTATGAGCTGAAAGTTTGTACTTGAAAAAAAAAAAAAAAAAATTGGAGCCGTTCTATGAGCCGTTATGCCGCGGCTAAAAATCATAGTTATCTGGGAAGAGGAATATCATAAGAACATATTTAATCAATAAAGCCAACTAGTGAAAAATGTGTAAAGTGATGCAATAAGATTGTATGTTAAATTATTGCATGATATTTAGAGATGTTATCACGAAAAATCCGCCCTTTTCAGGGAAAATATTTGTAAAAAGTATGCTATGCAAATGAGATGAAATAATATTGATTAATCGATCCTCCTACGAAATATTGTAACATTATCCATAGTAGCACCATCCGCCTATAGTAACTCATTTAATGTTATACACGATACATAAATGTATAATCAGTAAAAAAACAATAGTTTTATTTATAAAATATGGATGTTGATGATATGTTGAGACATCTTACGTTGAGATCATCATTCTATTAAACTATCCGTTTATAGAATACTATCCGCCTATAGAAACACCATTTTGTAAAACGTATGAAAGTAATCGTATAAGCGAAGACTATAAATTTGATAAGTACTAGAGATTAAAATAGCAGATTTAATATTTTACTTATAAAGCGAAATTTTAATTATGACAATTAAAAAAAAACTTTTCAGTACTGATAATTACAAACAGAATGTTATACAGATCAGATAAATATGAATTTTACGACATCTACATCACATTCTAGGCCAATCAGCACGCGATGTCTAGGGTCATGCCCTAACTGCTGATACTCACCAAGAGAGACCCCTATTATACGAGTTTTTTGCTTGATTTATGTGGTGGCAATCTGTTGTGAGAAGTAATGTGGAAAAACACTTAAAAATCTGATGTGTAATGATTCTGAATATGGTTTATAAAAGAAGTTTCTTGCTTTTCTATAAGGCACCATAGTTATTGTTATGTGTCTTGATCTGTTATAAAAAGCTGGTATTTAATAATTCTCAATAAGGTTTTATAACAGGGTTCTTGCCTTTGAATGAAGGAACCATGATTATTTTTATATGCCCTAATCTGTTGTAAGAAACTGGCATTTAATGATTCTTAACATGGGTTTAAAAAATAGAAGGTAGGTTTCTTGCCTTTGTATGAAAGAACCGTGGTTATTATTATGGGACTTGACCTTCAGAATGGTAAGATCAATCAGTAAGCTGGACTCGTGTAAGTATATAGATTTTAATATAACTTTGACGTAGTGGTAGAAAACAAAGAATGATGATAAATATACATTTTCTTGAGTTGGATAAATTATTTCAGAGTTTCTCTTGATCCCTTTGTTTGTCACATACATGTTAACAATTTGGCTGTATTCTCAGACAATAATATTAAGTTTTATGATTATGTACAATTGTTCTTGATCCCTTTGTTTGTCACATACATGTTAACAATTTGGCTGTATTCTCAGACAATAATATTGTTAAGTTTTATGATTATGTACAATTGTTCTTGATCCCTTTGTTTGTCACATACGTGTTAACAATTTGGCTGTATTCTCAGACAATAATATTGTTAAGTTTTATGATTATGTACAATTGTTCTTGATCCCTTTGTTTGTCACA